AGATATGAAATTATGTAAAGAAGAAAAAGCATTAACAAAAATGTCAAATATTAATAGCACTTGTTTCTCAATATAATTATGAGTGATGCTTCTAGTGTTCATAATTTTCTTTCTTGCCAAGTTTTCAACAATGAGCATATTATTACTCAATCAGGGAAAAATTCTGAATAAATGAGGCAATTCTGGATTCAGATAATTAAGGCTTTACTACATAATCAGGTAATTTCAGAGCTAGAAGTGATATAAAGTATATAAAATCCAGAGGATTTCAAACCTTGTTCCAGAGGACACTGGGATTCTGTGGTGATGTTTCAGGGCCACTTCAAAGGAAAAGGAAGAAGCTGAGCATACCTCCTATAGTCAACACATTTTACAGTCTCTTTCCAACTTAAAAGATACCCTTCCCTGTCCCCTTTACTTGAGAATAGGACCAAACAGACATTTTATGCAACATGGACCACTCCCCTAACCACACAGGTCTTCAGCTCATTGTTTGCCCCAAACCAGGCCTGAGTACATTCCTCTGGTGTGTCTCATTAAAGTGGCTGAAAAGCACAACTTGTCCACCATAAAGATTATAGAAGCAGAGGATAGAAGTTGCAGGGAGCATTATTCCAAATATGGGATTTATGAACAAATCCCATAAAACAAGAGCATAAGTCAGAGGCTTCCCAGTTCCAGGCTCAGCCATTTCATGAAGCCCCACTAGGTTTGTACCTTGGAGACGTTGGAAAATCTGTTGCCTTACAGCAAGTTCCTTTTCTGCTTGAGCTATAGCTTAGTTTCTGCTGTCTGCAACCAAATATACACAACATAGGCCCCATCTCAACCAAGTCAGCCACTGAGGTCCTATATTAGATTTTTATTTATACAGGGAAAAAAAGTTTCCCTGCTTTAAAATAAAAGTACTGATTCCACTTCCTCAACTTCATATTACTACTGAGAAAATTAAGGTTCAAAGGCCTCATGTTTACAATCAAGTTAAGGATTCTCTCCATTGAAAATTAAAAAGGTGGGGGGGGGGATACTTGGGTGGCTCAGTCAGTTAAGCATCAGACTCTTGCTTTCTGCTGAGGTCATGATCTCACAGTTTGTGAGATCAAGCCCTGTGTCAGGTTCTGCATGGTTGGCATGGAGCCTGCTTGGGATTCTCTCTCTCTCTCCCTCCCTCTCCCCCACTCTCTCTCTGAAAATAAATATTAAAAAAAAAAAAAAAAAGGATTTCAATACTTCCCAAATACATACTGACATAGGTCTGAGTCATAGGTACTGTTCCAAATGTTTCACCAACATTATCTAATTATCACAGCAATGCCATGATGCAGATTGTTAACAGAGAAGTGTAAGGCAAGCTAATATGCCCCAAATCGCAGACTCAAACCTAGGCAGTCCAGCTCTGGAGTCTGAGTCCTTGATCGATGTCCTCTATATGTTGTCTCTTTGTTAAGGATTTAAGCTTAACTAAGTGGCACTGTTTATGCATTTGTAAATGGTACTTTCTGTCATGGCACAACAGATTCTTACATCTCTTTCAACTGTACAATTCAAAGATGGTGATGTCACAGGTTGCTTCTAGGACTAAGTTTTTACCTATTCTTTAATTTTTACCTACTCTTTAATTGATTTCCCTTTTGAGTCTTCATGGTTGTGCATCATAGGAATTAGGGCTGGAACTACTATATTCACTTCTCCTACATGATTCTACGTTCACTTTCTTGTCCTATTTTTGGCCTGGATATGGTCATAATACACAAGTGAACTACATTTCTCAACTATTTCATTATATTCATTACTAATTTGTGTTCCTTTTTCTTCTTTTAAAAGTGGCAAGGTGCAATATTCTACATTTCTTAGGAAAACAAAACAAAATTGTGTTGCAATTCATTTAATGTATTTATTTTTCTTTGGATCCTTTATTAGAGAATTTTCCCCACCCTCATCCTATGCCTTCTAAAATCAGTGATTCTTGGGGCACCTGGATGGCTCAGTCAGTTAAGCGTCCAACTTTGGCTCTCATCATGATCTTGTGGTTCGTGAGTTTGAGCTCTGCATCAGGCTCTGTGCCGACAACTCAAGAGCCTGGAGCCTGCTTCGGATTGTGTGTGTCTCTCTCTCCCTCCCACTTCCCCACTTGCACTGTCTCTCTCTCTCTCTCTCTCTGTCAAAAATAAATAAACATTAAAAACGTTTTTTTATAAAATGAGTGATTCTTAATCTGGGGACAATGAAATAGAAGATGCACAGATGACCCCCAGATAGTCCACAGAAGCATATACCTAATTTTGTATCAGTAAGCATTTTTGTAATGGAGTTCATATTTTTTTTAATTTAAAAAAATTTTTTAGGGGCGCCTGGGTGGCGCAGTCAGTTAAGCATCCGACTTCAGCCAGGTCACGATCTCGCGGTCCGTTGAGTTCGAGCCCCGCGTCGGGCTCTGGGCTGATGGCTCAGAGTCTGGAGCCTGTTTCCGATTCTGTGTCTCCCTCTCTCTCTGCCCCTCCCCCGTTCATGCTCTGTCTCTCTCTGTCCCAAAAATAAATAAACGTTGAAAAA